AAACCACCCCATTGGCTGGCAGTTCATTTCCGGTCAAAGCACAAAGTGTTGGTTGTGACCTTTAAAGCCCTACATGTTCTGGGTTCAGATTAAATAATATGCCCCATACACTTAGATCCTTTAAAAACCAAGAGGGTGTTTTCATCAGCTGCCCCTGCACTTTGGAATGACCTGCCAGAAGGATTACAACAGCTTAATAAACTGTCAAAATTTAAGACACAATTAAAGGCAACAATCTTTTCCAGCAAGCCTATCCAACCTATGAATTTGAAACTTACATTCTATTAGTACTGTACATTTTACACTTTGTACTATGTGTTTTAATATATGTATTTTATGATAATGTTTTTATCTAGGTGTTTTAATTGTACCCCATCTTAAGCTGTGAAGAACCAGGTTAGAAACAACAACAACAAGTGAATCAAATAGTTTACTGAAGGCACTGAGGAATAGTTATGCACCATCCAAAATGTGCAATTGTATATACAACATTTACATTTGCAGAACTCCACTTATAGCACTGTAAACTGAATATGGATGTTGCACCATAGCAAAAAAAAGTGGTGAAAAGGATGCCGATGCAACCTGCAACCACCTTGATGGACTTTAAGTGTATCACTCTGGCTTTTCATCTTCTACCACTCACTGAATCATCATTTGGGAGGCCCTTGGGGTGCTGCACCAATCTCATCTCTTACTGCACCACTATCTAAAATCTCACAGCAGTTAACAGAGAACTATGTGCTTGGTACCTATAAAAGCTGGGCTTGCTTCATAAACAATATTCTGAGCCATGGGATTCTCAACATTTTAAATAGGCCATTTCTCTAAACAACAAACTCAACCATTCAGAAAAATCTGGCAGCATAAAGCTAGAGAGGTTACTCAGAAGAGGGCCTGTATGCCGAATTGACTTTGTGCACTGCGTGGATGCCATAGAGTCCATTCACCCCTGGCATGCCTCAATTGGTTCATGTAAATGGGCACTCAGTTCAATTGGGAGTTAGAGCGAGATCTGCAATTTGCAGATTACATTGCAAAAAATGAAGCCCAAACTGTGGTTCCTTTGAATTTCATACCTCAAATATTATGCAAAAATTTTGAGGTCTTTGGAAAACGATTTCAAGTAATCTGGACAAATGCTACAAACTTTCAGCATTTGAAAAATATAGGCTTTGCATTTGACTGCTATCTGTAACAATCTCTGAAGGTGAAAAGTAAGAGGAAAAATGGATCAATTTGTAAGAAACAACTTCCTTTAATTATCCAAGCTGATAAGGTTTTGGCATTCTTAACAAAAGTGAAAAGTCAGTGCACAAACACTTCTCTAACAAAGGCAGTGATGTGAACTTAAGCCCTGCATTTTGTTGTATCTTTGTAGGTGGTTAGGAAGAAAATAAGAAGCTATATTTACTGGTTGTGAAGTTCAAAAATGTAGTAACCTATCCCAGAAAGTTACTTTTCAAAGCTCTGCCCTGTTTGTTCATTCACTAGTTTTGATGTAGGATCATCAGGGTTCACACAGGCAATTGTGCTTTTAAAAACAATACAGCTGTGTTCACCCTCTTTCTCTAAACTCTCTGAAAAACTACTGTCTGAGCATTGGCTGAGCGTGTGCACTGAGGTTTTTAAAAACATAGTGTGTTCTCCATCAGAAAAAACTAGAGTCTGGAGACAACATGACATGACTAACAAAATGAGAACCAAATTATCTTTCTTGAAAATATTACCAAAGAATTTCCTTGCCAGCCTTGCTGCAAATTAGAACACTCAGAAAAAATTACTGACCGAACGCTTCATAAAAGTACACATAATCGTAAACAATTGGTGAACTATTGTAAAGAATTGGTGCACAGCATACCAAAGTGATTACAGCTTCAATCCACTCTCTTTCCTTTTCATATCAGACACCTAGGGCCCGTCCAGACAGGACCTTTATTGCAGTATCTACTGCAATAAAGGAGAGGCTGTCCAGACAATGTTCTGCACAGTCCTGAATTAATTCGCTACAAACCAGGAAAAGCCTGGTTTGTAGCAAATGGATTTGATAGTGGATTTATTCTGCGTCTTTTTAGAAGTAAACTGTGGGAATACCCACCCCTCCCCCTAAGCCCCCAGACCTCTTAGGAAAGTAATAAAAACTTACCCATCCTCCATTACAAGCCTTGGCTGTCTCTCCCAGCACAGAGAAATGATGCACCAGGAGAGTGGAGGGGAGGGAGGGAGAAAAATCGCTTCTCTCTCTCTCTCTCCCCCCCCTCCCCCCCCACTGTCCTGGCACATCATTTCTACACACTGGGAGAGCCAGCCAAGGCATGTAATGGAGGATGGGTAACATTTTTATTACTTTTATAAGGGGTCTAGGGGCCTGGAGGGATGGGGCTAGGGCCTCCAGATGTTCTCTCAGGTTAGTCGTGAGAGAACGTCTGGACACCCACCCTGGAAAATGCACGCTTTCTGGGGTGGGTGTGGACAGGCCTCCAGAAACATCCACGTTTTCTTTAACGTGGATGCTTCTGGGCTAAAGGCCTGTCTAGATCCAGCCCTAGATATCTTACCAGAATTTCTAGTCTTTTAAAGTAGTCAGTCTCTCAATCGAGCGTGGTCTAGTCCATGAGGTTACGACTGAACGAATAAACAACAATTTTTGGAGGCCTGTGTTGGGCCACCAAAGGAAAAAAATAAATAAAGTAGCCACTCTCGTTTTAAAAAAAAATCCAACAGATTTCAGATATATGTGGGAAGGGGAAACAGAATTTGATGGATTTGTTTTCTAGAGAAATGCCTTCACTCTATCTCTCTGCTATCAATGGATGACTCACCAGTGAACAAGTACCCAGGACATTTTGTTGCTTGTTCTGATTGTAACGTAATGGATAAAATTATTTCTATTCAGTTCTGCAACATCAACAACAGGTTTACTTTGGTTAAAAAATGAGGATGTGGTTTAGTTTCAAACTCTATGGTGGGTTGATTCCCAGATGTGTCTCTAAAGCCATCTTGCGATTGGAGACAGGCTTTGTGAAAGTGAGATTATGGACAACCATTCTCAACTACTGGCTACACCTATCCTTCTCCCTATGTGGTCTTGCCCCTCTAACTATGAGGGACAACTTCCAGTCCACATGGACTGAAACAGTGGCGGTAAAGATCACAACACTAGGTTTCTCCCAAGGACAATGGCTAAGCATGAAATGGGACCAAGACAAGTATCTCATTAAGCAACGGATCCTGGACATAGAGCACCAATTGGACCTAGCCTATTCCCCAGCCTTTATTGTTAGTGAAGCCAATAGATACCTCACCACCCCCCATGGCATACTTAATAGACCTGGAGGTGCCCAAACACTGAAAGACTTACCCTGGCAAGATGTTATGCCCTCCCATCATCTATATTGGAGGGGAGGTATAGGAAGCCCTCCTTCAAGGACAGATTATGCCCCTGTGAGCCTGGACATGTAGAAACAACTGAGCATGTGCTTCTTCAATGCATCTTCTACAGAGACCTTAGAAATAATCTCATTACACCATGGCTTTTAAAATATCCTGGGTACAGCAAAAAATATTACCACATCCTGTTGCTTTTGTACTCTAGCACTACAATAACTTAGTGTTGCTAAGTTTTGTGCTACAGCACTTAAAATTAGATGCATGATAGTTAACCCCTGAAAAGCAACACCCTGTTGGGAATGTAGTTAGGGCAGCCGGTTACAGAGGAAATGCTACTAGACTTGTAATGTGCCCCTCCCATTCCTTTTAGTGTGCCCCCCCCCCAGTGCTTTGATCTATCCTATCAGTTCCCCCCCCCCTCCCTGGTTCCATATCAGCTACATTAACCTGTGTTTTTAAACTGTGATTTTAAACTGTTTTCGAATCTGTTTTTTAATAACTGCTTCACTGGGGAGCTGTGTTTCCCCCTCCCAGGGTGCTTATGCCCTGCTTTGTGCTGATCAGTGATCGTAATAAAGTGTTGTTGTTGTTGTTGTTGTTGTTGTTGTTGTTGTTGTTGATGATGATGATTCCAGGATCTCCTCAGGATGCCAAAAGTTTGTGAATGATCATAAAATGGTATAGGACAGCAGCAGAGGCATTTGTAAGCCCTAGTTGTCAAGTATGCCACTATCAACCTTATAATACAGGTTGCCAGAATAGCCACAGGTTGTGGTTAAACCAGCAGTGCCCATTGGGAGATGTGGGGAACCTGTCATCCCATGCCCCACACCGCCAGGCTTACCAATAGCCTCATCCTATGGGGGAAGCATTGGCCACACGGTTTCCCCACACTGTTGCTTGTGCAACACAGGAAGCCTCCCATGTTGCCACTATGGTGGCATACACTGGTTCCATGATAGTTTAGCTACAGAGCCCTGCTGATAGTAGTATTATGACATGGGATGGGAGCCAGCAGGCTCTGTGGCTAAACTATCGATGAACTGGCCTATGCTACCAAAAAAAGGCCCGACTGATAAGGTTGTATGAGGGCATTCTTCAGGGTCCCCTACTCCTGGGAAGCATTATGGCTACCTACTTCTGCATCCAAGGTGAAATGAATGATGACCACAGAAGCAAGTGGCTGGTCAAATCCCCAGCAGTGGGGAAGGCTGAAAAGTGCCCACCTTGTGACACACCTGACAGCCACGGCTCACTACCATCTCTACAGCTAGTCTATACTATTTCGTACAGGGACTTAGAAGCCTTGCCATGCAGAGGTGCTGGTGGCAAGCTCCTCGAGCCCCCCATCTATGACCTGTGAAGGAAGTCTTTCACCTTCCAAGCAGAAGCAGATGGCTAGTGTGCTCTCTACTGCAGATTCAAGTGTACATTTGAATCTGTGGTGGGTTGAATATATAAATTGTGAGTTTGTGGATATGGCAGGCCTAATATAATCAGAATAAATGCTTGTTTGTTTACATTTTTAAAAAGGTATCAGCTCAGTATTATATTTTGGTAATCACTCTGTGCTATATGTTTTTTCTGTCGGTAAAGAATATACAAAAGGATTCTGTTAATACAGTTTATTGGCACACGTATTGGCAAAGCATACATAAAATACAGTTGTATCATATAACACACCGACTTACTGTATTTCTTCTTTTACATGATGGGCTGAACATATTAATATGTAAATGAAAAAAAATTAGTTTCTTTTATAAAGTTTCACATAAATATACTGGAATCAAAAATAATAATTAGTTTGGAGGGCTTTACAAAAGTATTATACAAGAAATATAGTGTGAAAACAAACAAGAAAAGACATTAAAAACACAAAAAATAGTCTTTGTTTAAACTGCTCACAGGATTAATGGATTACATGGCTTTCAAAATGCAGATCAACAGCAACTTTACAAAGCGTAAACTCTCATAGGGAATGAATGTCTTTCTTCACATAAAAATATTCATTATGTCCGATGAAAGAAAAAGACATTTAGTTGTCTCAGTGCTTTTGGAAAACTATTAATAAGAATCAGTTACAATGTCAGGGCTAAAGCAGTGGACCCTTGAAATGGCTAGAAGTAGAAGAAGAACAATGGTAGGCAGCACCAATAACTCAAGGAAGCAAAGCAAGAGATAACCTCAACTTGGGTTGGGGAACTGTCAACTAAAAAGCAAAGCAATGTAACTTAGCTGGGTTGGGCAAAAGCACCCAAAATTATCCGTATTCATAATCCAAGAAGACTCTCCTTCCCAATCCAGTAGCCAGAGTACAGAATGATCCATTCTGAAGTATCTGAAATCAGCCATCTTTGGAAGAGACAGTAAAGGGCTAGATTGAATCCTACATTTCTCTTATAGTGGGCTTCATAATTTAAAGCAGCAACATAGGTTCTTCCGGCAGCTTTGGACTCACTCCACTAAGTCAGAATCCTAATAACTTAATCTCATGGGGACTTTAAAGAGTTTTAAATTTTAAGACTTAGTACAGTTGGCCCTCTACATTTGTGTGTTTGACTTTTTTGGATTTAATTAATATGTTCTCTTTAGGAATCTCTAGATCAGTGGTTCTCAACCTGGAGTCCCCAGATGTTTTTGGCCTTCAACTCCCAGAAATCCTAACAGCTGGTAAACTGGCTAGGATTTCTGGAATTTGTGGGCCAAAAACATTTGGAGACCCCAGGTTGAGAACCACTGCTCTAGATCCTCCAGTAAAACTGGTGAATTTTGGTCCAGAAGTTAAGTATAATGTTATGCTGGAGGACCTAGTTAGAGACTGCTAAAGTGAAAATTTCTCCAGGCATTAGATATGCACATTCGGGGGAAACCTTGTCCTGTTTCATGTTCTGGCTTTTGTTGGTGGTCCTGGTCCACTATGGGGGTGGGGGTCCTCCCGCTCACTGGCTCCTCTTCCTAGTGTATGTTCTTACCTGGAACCTGCTGTTTCTACTCTAGAGTAAGAGGTGCTTGGCTATAGGCACTGGCAGGTGCATGCACTTTCCGGGCCTCCCTGTACACCCCGCCACACACGCACTCTCCTTGGAAAGAGTGTGTTTGTGGCAGGGCATGTAGGCAGGTCTGAAAAGCATGCATGCCTACCAGTGCCTGCAGCCAAGCGCCTCTTACTCTAGAGTAAGAGGTGCTCAGCTGCAGGCACACTCTGGGCCTGCCTACCTGCGTGTGCCACCACACACATATTCTCTTTCCAAGGCAAGTTCGGATACACACAAAAGCAGGCTTTCATGTTGAGCAGATTTTTGTGTGGGTAGGGGGCTTTCCGTTTCATGCTTCCAAAGAAATGGAAGACACGAAAGAAATAGTAGAAACGGTAGGAATAAGTTTCACGCACATGTCTACCAAGCATTTGTAGGTCCTCCAGCATGATTCTATGGTGAATGTTTGGCAGAAGTTGACCATGCCATCAAGAGTCCCAGAGAGATCCATCTCAGATGAACCACATGGTTTTTATTTGGGTCCCCCCCCCCCACTTTCCTCTCTTGCCTCAGTGTATGTAAAGGGCTGACTGTAATTTGGAATTTGCAAGATCGAGTGTTCATTAAAGCTCGTATTTGTTCATTTCATGAAACATACATTAGTAGTTGCTGCTACTGAAACATTCTTCCCATAGACATCTTTGCTAGTTACCCTAACTTTTTAGATTACAGCTTTTCTTCATAGTAAATGCCTTCCTGGAAGCTATGGAATTTTTCTCCTTTTTTGGTACCATCCAAATCTCACTCCAGCCCTACCCAGAAAAAAATTGCATTAATTAAAATTGAAAAGATCTGGTTATTTTAACCTCCTTTTAGAGCAAAAAACATAAACAAATAGGATGCATTTCATTCACCATGATTTTAAAAATAAATTCTCAATAGATCCTGAGCACTGATGGGCTGATATGGCCGTTCATGGGAGAAGGGAGATCATAGCAATGGGGAAAAAACCCTTCCATTTAAATGTTAGTATGAAGAAATTGTCATGAGGTGCTACTTACATGTTCAGTTCTTTTCACTGAGGTCAATGCCAGTATCATGTCATGTGCAAGGGCTCCCAAGATAACCATCTGGAAGCTTATAAATTATTTTTCTAACTTAAAAAAAGATAGCTGTACATCTAGAAATAGGTTCTGTATCTGTGGGAAAATTGGGAGGTTTTTTTCTGAGTGTGTAAAGAATGCTGGGAGAAAGGAATTGCAACCTGCTGTTAAAGCGACAGTAGATGCAGCTTCAGATATTTTATTGGGAAGCTTGTGGTGTTGGATTTTCCGACTTTGTCTCCTGGTTTGCAGGAGGTTTACTGTTCCAAGGGCTGTTGTTGCCCAGTGCAGGCGAATTGTTGAAGTCTTCATCATCGTCCATGCCATTGGCTGCGTCATACTGCGTGTTTTCTAGCCTCGTGATGAGCCGTTCGTCTTCGTCACCAAATTCTCCACCCATCAGAGTTGGTTCCCCGACTACCATCACATCCTGTGAAAAGCATCCAACACGTGTTATCCGCTGAAAGCCCAAGGAAGACAAAGAAACACAATATTGAGCACAATCATCTGTCTAATGAGAAGAACAGCAGAATGTTTTATCCCCATGCAAGCCTCTCTCAACATGATGTAGCCTTGGACTCTTCACAATAGCTTGGCTTGAAACTCAAACTCAGTTATTCCTTTTTAATGTGTGGAGAACTCTTTCAGGATTGTACTTTGCATAGTGTTGACTATAAAATCCAAAACAAAAAAGAATGCAAGTGAAAGAAAATGAGCATAAAAAGGAATACAGAAAATTTCACTGGAAAAGTTGCTTTCAATGGTTGGATGACCCTTTTCAGGTTCAACAAGTTATGAAAATTTCTGATATAGTCAGTCCCACACATCCCATTGTGGTGCAGTAGGTTAAACCGCTGAGCTGCTGAACTTGGTGACCAAAAGGTCAGCGGTTCAAATCCAGGGAGTGGGGTGAGCTCCCGCTGTCAGCCCCAGCTTCTGCTAACCAAGCAGTCCAAAAACAAGCAAATGTGAGTATATCAATAGATACTGCTCCGATGGGAAGGTAACAGCATTCCATATAGTCATGCCGGCCACATGACCTTGGAGGCGTCTACGGACAACGCCAGCTCTTCAGTTTAGAAATGGAGATGAGCACCAATCTCCAGAGTCGGACACAACTAGACTTAATATCAGGGAGAAACCTTTACCTTTAGGGGCACAGTATGCCTTTAAAGGTGAAAAAAATGTGAATAAAAATACCTTTTCATGTGAGAAAACATCCCTTTAAGAATATCTAGCCCTTTCTACACTGCCATATAAAATCCAAACTATCTGCGTTGAACCGGATTAGATGGCAGTGTTGACTTATATAATCCAGTTTAAAACAGATAATGTAGATTATCTGCTTTGATAAAATGGATTACATGGCAGTGTAGAAGGGGCCGAGGTCCTCCAGACAAACTGTTGAAAAGATGCCTAAAAGGAACATTTCAAACAAGTCAGTGAAAAATCATCAGAAGCCAAACTCACAAATGTAGAGGGCCAAGTGTATATTGCTTTCTCTTCAGGCCCCTTCTACACTGCATATAATCCAGATTATCAAAGCAGATAAACCACATTATCTGCTTTGAACCAGACTATATAAGTCAACACTGTCATATAATCCTGTTCAAAGCAGATAATCTGGATTTTATATGGCAGTGTAGAAGGGACCTCAGTAAGATGGAATCAAGCTATTTAAAAGTTCTGCACAAGATAATTTAATATGGTACTCTTATTACGAAGCATTGTGTCTAGATACAGGGAAGTCATACTACCCCTCTATTCTGACTTGGTTAGACCACACCTGGAATACTGTGTCCAATTCTGGGCACTGCAATTGAAGGGAGATGTTGACAAGCTGGAATGTGTCCAGAGGGGGACAACTAAAATGATCAAGGGTCTGGAGAACAAGCCCTATGAGGAGCGGCTTAAAGAGTTGGGCATATTTAGCCTGAAGAAGAGAAACTGAGAGGAGACATGATGGCCATGTATCAATATGTGAGAGGAAGTCATAGGGAGAAAGCTTGTTTTCTGCTGGTCTGGAGACTAGGATGTGAAACAATGGCTTCAAACTACAGGAAAGGGGATTCCACCTGAACAATAGGAAGAACTTCCTGACTGTGGAAGCTGGTCAGCAGTGGAACTCTCTGCACCGGAGTGTGGTAGAGGCACCTTTTATGGAGGCTTTTAAACAGATGCTGGATGCCCATCTATCGGGGGGTGCTTTGAATGTGATTTTCCTGCTTCTTGGAAAGGGGGTTGGATTGGATGGCCCATGAGGTCTCTTACAACTCTATGATTCATTGTGATTTCAAAGAGGGTTTTCACAAGGAAGATCCAGGAAGTATCGTCAAAGGCTTTCATGGCTGGAATCACTGGGTTGTTGTAGGTTTTTTGGGGCTATATGTCCATGGTCTAGAGGCATTCTCTCCTGACATTTCGCCTGCATCTATGGCAAGCATCCTCAGAGGTAGTGAGGTCTGTTAGAACTAGGAACAAGAGGAATCCTCTCACTTCTGCAGGAGTCTACTGTATACCATGCAGCTGTGGACAAGTCTACATAGGGACCACCAAATGCAAAAACGAATCAAGGAACATGAAAGGCACTGCAGACTACTTCAACCAGAGAAATCAGCCATAGCAGAGCACCTGATGAACCAACCTGGATACAGCATTTTATTTGAGAACACAGAAATGCTGGACCACTCCAACAACCACCATGTCAGACTACACAGAGAAGCCATTGAAATACACAAGCATGTGGGCAATTTCAACAGCAAGGAGGAAAATGAACAAAATCTGGCTACCAGTATTAAAAACCTCTACAATTACAACAGCACAACAACAGAGAGGAAACAAACAAGGACATCTAATCACCTCTCAACAAAAAGTTTGCTCTAGGCAATGTCAGGCCATTATATGCTAATCAAGGTGGTCAGTTGAAACATTCACACTTAGCTCCAGCAGACAAGAGCCCTTTGTCTCACCCTGGTCATTCCACAGATATTAAACCCATTTTTCCTAGTTCCAACAGACCTCACTACCTCTGAGGATGCTTGCCATAGATGCAGGCGAAACGTCAGGAGAGAATGCCTCTAGAACATGGCCATATAGCCCGAAAAAACCTACAACAACCCAAGATCCAGGAAGACTGGACATTTTTTTTTGCCTCATACCTGATTTCTCTTCCCACAGGCTGTAGCAGTTAAAATAAATTTGATAAACACTACCTCTAATGCACCAGCCATTTGAACATAGAAATCAGCACTTCTTTTTCCTAACCAAACCACTTGATATCCCACTACTTAATTATGGTAATTAATTTAGGTAGAGGTTTTTTTTGATAAAAACAATGTTCACACTGATTTGACAATTTGCATCGCTAATTAAGTAATTAGCAAAGAAACCTGCTGATTGCCAACAAGCCCTGAATTTACCATCTGTTATTTCATGGTGCTTGTCACCTCTCTCTGTGTAGGCAACACTGCTGCCAATCTGTGCAGTACGAGGACCAATCTGTCCAGCTGGTATCATAAAAGGAAGACAGAATGCTAATTATAATCACACTGATGAAGCTAGCAGTTGTCAAAGCTGAAGAGGGCAACCAGAAAAGGATCTGTCCCATTGCTGCTGTGAGTGCAAAGAGTCCTTTCACGAAGACACAGACAGCACCATGAGTGCAATTGCACATCAGTGGCTCCCTGCTGATTCTTAGCCAGCAGGAGGACTGAGGAGAAGAGTGCCAGACAGGAAAACCAGGGAGCTTCCTTGATCTCATGCTAAAAGCAGATCCACTGATCATAGCATCTGGCCAAAGGCATTTATCTATGAGCACATCTTTTGATGCACTGTCTTTGGCAGAGCTCCTCAAGATGCATTCCAAGAAAATGCGGCCCTGTCGGTATTTAAATGTGTCTACTTTGACTGAACAAGCCATTCATGGTGGGATAAAGGGTTTGGGAATGGAAAAGGACCAATTTCTATCTAAATAGCAATAAATGGTTTGTTGAAAACAAACAACCAAATGGTGACTACAATCTCTCTCTAACTTGTGGTCTTCTTCATCTTCCCTAGAATCAGTCAGGCTACACCAGTGATTTTCAACCTTCCTAATGCCATGACCCCTTAATACACTTCCTCATACTGTGGTGGCCCCCTATCATAACCTTATTTCTGTTGCTACTTCGTAACTCTCATTTTGCGACTGTTGTGAATTGTAATGTAAATATCTGTTATGCATGGTGTATTTTCATTCAGTGGACCAAATTTGGCACAAATAACTGATATGCCAAATTTGCACACTGGTGGGGTTGGGGGGGGGCACCGATTTTGTCATTTGGGAGTTGTAGTTGCTGGGATGTATAGTTCACCTACAATTGAGGAGAACTCTGAACCCCACCAACAATGGAATTGAACCAAACTTGACACACAAAAACAAAAGTCCCATGACTAACAGAAAACACAAGAAGGGTTTGGTGGGCATTGACCTTGAGTTTTGGAGTTGTAGTTTACCTATATCCAGAGAGCACTGTGGACTCAAACAAAGATGGAGCTGGACCAAACTAGACACAAATACTCAATATGCCCAAATGTGAACACTGGTGGAGTTTGGGGAAAATAGACCTTGACACTTGGGAGTTGTAGTTTATTGTTCTAATATAGCATTCTGAACCCCACCAATGAGAGAATTGGGCCACATATCCCACACAGAAAATACTGTGTTTCCTGATGGCCTTTGGTGACCTCTTTGACATCCCCTCATGACCCCCCCAGGGGTCCCGACCCCCAGGTTGAGAAATTATAGCACAATTATAGCACAACTAGCTGTACACGCCACGCGTTGTTGTGGCCAACCTCTCCTCCCTCTTTCTCTCCTCCTTTCTTTCTCTCCTTCCTTCCTTCCTTCTCCTTCCTTCCTTCCTTCCTTCCTTCCTTACTTCCCTCTTCCTTCCTTCTTTTCCTTTTTTATCCTTCTCTTCCTTCTTCCTTCCTTCCTCCTTCTTCCTTCCTTCTTCCTTCTCTCCCTCCCTCTTTCCCAGCAGTCTTCCAAATCAATTTATCTACCTACCTACCTACCTACCTACCTACCTACCTACCTACCTATCTCTACCTACCTACCTCTATCTAATCTATCTATTTTATCTATCTAGAGAATTTCTGGGAGTTGCAGTCCAGGAATAGGAAATTGGAAATATGCAGGAATTGGGATGGCCTCAAAGAAATCCAAGGAGAAGAAAGCTTGCAGCTTGGAAGCAGTGCATTTGGATCATCCTCCTCTCCTAAAGGGACTGGTTTAGGGGGTTCTGGGAGCTGTGGTCATGAAGAAAGTGTGGATATGCTATTGTGTGTTTTGTTTGCCGGGGGAGTCATTTCTGCACATGCGCATCTTTTCACTTTTTTGGCTTTTAAGTCCCTTCCAGCTAACAAATAATCTCGGGACAAATTAGAGTTTTCCTCCTTTGTGCTGAATGCACTCGCTTTTCTCTGGGACATTGTCTGGATGCCCCTTTTTGAAGAAGTGGGAACTCGTGCTTCTAAGAACCTGTTTGGAAGGGCCCTAAGTTCCCATTGCAGCGGTTGGCCATGCCCTGTTGAGTGTAACTACGGGATTTAGGTTTTTGAATCTCAAAAATGTTACATGACCATTTGAAAAAGAAAAATGCAGACAGTTACACTAATGGTGATTTTATTCTCAGTGTCAACAGCAGCAGAAGCAGGAGAAGAAATATTCCCTTTCTGTCTCCTAATACCTCAATATTAATCACATCCCACAATAGGCATGTTCAAAGGAAAGGGACGGGATTATTTCCTCACCATGTAAAATTGGCTGTCACCTTGGTTAGGTATCTGAATTGGATCTCATATCGTACAAGTGTGTAGTTATTGGGGAAGGGGAGGCAGCATAATAAGGATGTTGCCTCTCTATAAGAATTCTGCACTCTCCATGAACTTTGCCTTCAGTCCCCAAATTCCTAACACTGCAGTAACTTAAAACTTCGATTGAGCACTGAGGCATACAATGAAGACATTCAAAGTTGTCAAGAAATGAGAATGCAGCAAATGTATGTTTTCAGTGTGTGAAGGATTTTCAGTGTCTCACTCTCTACGGTACTAGAAATTTGGGACTGCAAGAAAATTTCATTGGGCAGCAGAACTCCTGTGAGAGAATAATGCACTCTTTTGCCCCCCCCCCCCTCCACGCACATACACACAGTAGTTCTATTATTTCTCAAAAAGGAGATGCCGGAGATCTTCCACAATGTGATGATCTGTGATGATCTGGACACCCCCCCCCCCCACCAGATATTCCAGCGATATCAGTGCAAAAGAAAAAGAAGAAGCAAAGTTCATGACTCAAAGACTCTCATTCACTGTTATTACTCTACATATTCAAAGGCTGAGAACATTTTTCAATGGCTGAATCCTGAAGTCAGGCTAGGCCATGTATAGGAAAACGAAGGCCGGTGGGCTAAACACAGGGCCACTCACCATGTCCTTATTCCGAAAGGATGGCAAGCAGAGGTTGGGAGCCCTCTGGACAAAGAGGAAGGCACACAGTGGTTGGGAGCTCTCTGGAGTGTTCTCAGCCACATCAGGTTTTCCTTGGGCCCTCCTCCTGGCATAAGGACGGGACAAGTGACTCAGTCCTTATACTGGGAGTACAGCCCCATGAAGGCAGGCAGGAGCTGAGAGCGCTCTAGAGCCCTGCCCTCCTTTTGGGATAAAGACAGGGTGATTGGACCCATCCTTATGCCGGGGAAGGACAGGCCACTGCTGAGAGCCTTCCAGAGAGCTCTTGGAAGTGGCTTGTCCTCTCTTTCTCTCAGAGAAGAGAGGATGACCCTTCCTCCAGATGCCAACCCCCCATGCTAGCTGCCCTCTGCCTCACTGCCACCCCCTCTCTTTCTGGCCTGCTTTTCCCCAGTCTGGCCTACAATGTAGCCCCCACCCCATGCCTGGGCTTGACCCTGCTTTTGAAGGCAAGGAATCAATACTATGAAGATATGATAATGTCTCAGAAGAAATGTGATGCAAGTCGTGTACTTGTAACATAAAAAATGGAATCAGTTTTCTCTGGGAATAAATGAATGTAGCAGTTTGTACTTCAATGAACCATTTCCACCATTATTATTTTGGAAATACTCTCAGTCAATACATTATGTTGGTACTGACTCGGGACGAATCTACGTGCCACGTAATTTGAGTCTCCAGATTGATGCTAGGGATGGCTGCACTGCTCATAGCTGCCCCACAGTGGCAGTGCAGTAGAGTTGGGTCAAAACTTTCATGTCAGAAATGGTTTCCGATGATGACCAGGAGGAGCTGGATGGCTGTCTGTCATGACATTGGGAGGCTGATATGCATCTAATCCATCCCGTTTCCTTTGCACTGTGAACAACAGGGGAAATGGGGATAGCAGCATGAGCTGGTATGGAGGTTGAACCAGTTCAGATTAGAGCTAGTCCATCTGTCCATATTGACCCCAAAGTGGTTTCACTGAAACTTCAGAACTTCTGAAGTATTTTCTACTTGTAACATGGGGCAAAATTGTGCTAACCAATTTTATATTGCATTACAGAATGGAAGTTCCTGGATATCATCTGGCCATCTATGAGGAACTTCTGGCTGATTTCAGGGTTTTGGGTCAATGTAGACAAGTATAATGAGATTTCTGCATAACAACTGGCCAAGCCTTCCACCTCCTCTTTAAATTAAGCTACTGAAAAATAAACAATAGTGAAAATTTGTGTGAAAATATTTGCATGTCTGCTGTGGGTAGATCTCATAAGTCTAAAGCATGTATGCTGATCAATCTTTCAAAACATTCATACTACAAGATTGGCATGGCTTGTCCTGGTGTGCCTTACCCTCATTCCCCACAAAACATCTAGTGAACATAATGCCATCACACATAAAAATACATCTCAGAGGAAAACTGATGGGCAAAATCTTTCAGGGAAATTTGTCTGCCACTTCCTGTTCTTCTGAAGAACACAGCTCGAAAGCCACAGTATTCATGCTTTGTCAAGGTCTAGAATCCAACTTTTTTGTGTGAAATGTTTGAATGGCAGAGTGTCACAAAATAAACAGTTTACTTTTCTCCATAATGTACATATGAACAAACTCTCAATAATATAAAGCCATACAGGTCGCTCTAACAGTTTGGTGGGGATTTCCCTTTTTCTGAGGTTTTGTTCCTCCTTTATTTTAGTGCCTTCTAAAATGACATCTAATTGTTCATGTTGCTATCCATAGGAGGCACCACACATTGAGAGCTACAAAATGGCTTTGGTTTGTATCTTGGGTTCTGAATTGAAACAGCTATAAAGAAAGGGAAAGGAAATTGCTCTATGTTTATTCCATTTGCCCAAACTGGAGAGGATCAAAACCCACTAACAAATAAAGTTGTCACCAACTGCTCCAGCTGATTTCAGTGGGACTTAAGCCCAGCTGTGACTATGTGGGACCCAGGAATTCTAAAGACACCCACCAATGCAACCCCAAATCATCTCCGCTCACTAGTTCCCGTGCAATAGCCACCAACCTCTGAGGAGGACTGGAAGTGACTCCTTTAGAGCCCCTCAATGCTTCTCCTTAAATTGGCCAGTAGGGGTCACTGTTGTCGAATGACACAAGGCTCCATCCCTCCCAGGGTTGAGGCTGCATCTCTGGAGTGCTCCTAGCTCCTGCTCATGGAGTGAGAAGCAGAATCCAAGAATTAAACCCTAGTGTTTTCTTTTCCATGGGGACACACACAGCCATGGGGTACTTATAAAAGATTCAGCTACATTTCATAGATAAAACAATATTTAGCCTACAAACAACAATCTGCATTCAAAAAATGGTGGGATGCAAGGTAGACCTTCATCACTTGTGATCCACCAAACTGAACAAAAGTTCATTAGTTCCATGAGACAACCCACTGGTGCAATCTATTCAGAAGTAAGAGCTAGTAAGTCCAATGGTGTTTGATCCCAAGTAACTACAGTGCATTGCATAACTCATATATTCTCTTCCGTTGGTGGGTCTCAAGATATGGCAATCCGTATGTTTTGCATCTCCATATTAGCAGAGAGCTTTTGAAAACCTTCCCCTCTCCCAAAATGCTTTCAAATAGTTTCCCTGCAGTTTCTTTGCTTAGACCGAAATAATAGAAAAATAAAAATACAATATTATAGTGCTGTGTATGCTCAATGAGCAACATTTTAACAGCATTTTAGGAATATGGATTCTTTACTGATGTTGCTGATCCTCTTATTTCCACTTTGTTCAATTTCTCCCATTAATGCTTGTGCCCCCCAAAAAGTGTCTTGATTCAACCCATATTGATGCAAAGTTTTGTTTTGAATGAACTGACCCCAAAAGTAGGCCTGGAACATTAAAAATCATGAGAAATAGATTTTTGATTCTAAAATTATTTACCTATTGGAGAACTATGTGTAACCTACAGAATCTGGGGACACCAGAACCAATCCAAATATTTCAATAATATTTTGTCTGGCCAAGGATCTGGAGCAGAATCAGAACCCCAGTTATAGAATTGCATCACTCCTCAAAAACCTCTACCATGCGTGATTGGCCCACACATATTAAATTGCTTTAATTGTGTGCCTGGAGCTTTGCAGATCTTTTGCTTGCCACAAGAAGTCCTTCCCATGAACCACCTCACTTTCTAGAGTTGCCTTCAGGAGCCTAAAACAATGTCAACTGAGACACTGAAAAATTCCAGTGGACATACCTAATCCATTCATGTTTGGAACCTAGTCTGTGTTATTGTTGTTATTATGAATAGTAGTACTGCTAATACTACTAAATAGTGTAGTCTTTTATGGAGGCCTAAATGGAAAAGGAGACTTACAGGTACCTGACTTGAAAGACTCAGGTTTGCCGCCGCTGCTGCCGCTGCTGCTTTTTTCTTGCTGTTGGTGCTGTTTGCATTGTTCCCGGCACTGCTATTGGAAGTGCTGCTGGTGGAGTTTTTCCTTTTCCTCCGTTTGGTTGTTGGCTGTCTTGTAGGTTCTGCTATAGTAGGGAGCAAAACAAAATGAAAGGTGTCAGAAGAGCAATATTGATTTGGTTCCTCTCTTTCCTGTTGTAGCTGATGTGCTCTCGGTGTTGAATCAGATCAGCACTGAGCATTGTTGCATTGTTGCTGTAAGCTACCCCGTGTCCCTCCAGGGAGAGGTGTAGAGTATAAATAAAGCTATTATTATTATTATTATTATTATTATTAAATCAGCAAATATTTAGAATGTTTGCTTAGTACTAAAAATAAAATTCAGTTAAGTGGAACGAATATTATAGAATCATAGACTCATCGTTGGAAGAGACCATAGTTGGAAGAGACCATCCAGTCCAACCCCCTGCCAAGAAGCAGGAAAATTGCATTCAAAGCACCCCCAACAGATGACCATTCAGCCTCTGTTTAAAAGCCTCCAAAGAAGGAGCCTCCACCACACTGCAGGGCAGAGAGTTCCACTGCTGAACAGCTCTCACAGTCAGGAAGTTCTTCCTAATGATCAATGTTATGCTTGCAAAGTTATTTTCAAAAGGAATTCATGGCAGTTGTAGTTCGAAGACAAAAGGAGTCAGTTATAGCATAGCTGCTCTTTTTAAAAGGGGAACATTTTACTTTCTTCCTAAACTTTATTATCTGATAATTTTGGCTTTTTTTTGGTGGAAGGCAGGGAATCTGAATGTTACAAGCTGTTAGCCTATGGTAGAAAATGTACTCCTCTCATTCACCTTCTTGTTACATGAACACACAGAACTTCACTTGGCCTGCATAATGTGTCCAATTCTGGACACCGCAATGGAAGGGAGATGTTGACAAGCTGGAATGTGTCTAGAGGAGGGTGACTAAAATGATCAAGGGTCTGGAGAACAAACCCTATGAGGAGCAGCTTAAAGAGCTGGAAATGTTTACCTGCAGAAGAGAAGGCTGAGAGGGGAAGTCATAGGGAGGAGGTTTGTTTTCTGCTGCCATGGAGACTAGGACATGGAACAATGGCTTCAAACTACAGGAAAGGAGATTCCACCTGAACGTTAGGAAGAACTGTGAGAGCTGTTCAGCAGTGGAATTCACTGCCCCGGAGTGTGGTGGAGGCTCCATTTTTGAAGGCTTTTAAACAGAGGCTGGATGGCTATCTGTCAGGGGTGCTTCCAACACTTATAATCAAAACGCAGAATGTAAAGGGCCAACCATACCTGGAGGTGCCACCATCCGCTGCCATTTTTGAAACAAACATGTTTTCAGACAATCTCGAGGACTTAAATTATATGTTTTATGCCTTGACATCAATTCTTGCATTGGCTCCAATATTACACACAACTGTAAAAGAAAGAAAGAAAAAAGTGCAGAAATATAAATTTAGAGTGAATGGTGTTATAGTGAAAAGCATCCTTCTACCCAGACTTCAAACTCAGGGTTTTTCCAGATTGGTAAATGTGATGAAAGGCTGCAGCATTTGTTGCTTTAGTTTTCAGTTTATTTTTTTTTAAAATTCAATTATGTCTTCTTGTCTCAGACTATTTCTTGGCAATTCTCGCATCAGTTGCAATATTTTATTCCCACCTTGAGCACAAAAGGTTATTCTTCTCTTCGACTCCGTTACTTCTTTAAAAGATTTTTTTTAGTGTTATAGTGCTATAGTGCACTGGTGCATCAGTGGAATGGCATGAGTCTAACATTTTTTTAAAACAGTCAGAGGACAAAATTGTTTTTGTCTTTCAAACATTGAGATATAACCTTTTAAAGAATGCAGACCTCCCAAAAACTGAACACGCATAGACAAAAGTGAAATAACTGGCATAGCCAAGCTAAAACAAGGGAATAGAAGGATGAGAATTCACATTTTTAGTATCTTTCTTTAGTTTCGAGCTTTTACTCTTTCCCTATAGCAAAGAAAGAATTATGTCTCCACATTTTAAGTCAAGACACTGTGGGGAATTCAGAATGTTCTTTGATTGCAGGAGCTACTGCAACTCCCACGTCTGACTGTATTTCCCCCAAACCTCTTCGGTATTTTCTTTTGGTCATGGGAGTTCGGCCGATAGGCTGATGAGTAAACATATTCATAGGTTCCCTGCTGTTATATTAAGACTGTTGCCCATGCTACAACATTCTTGAAGTCATTCGAAAGTAATTAGAAATAAATATTTCACAATATATAATTACATATTGTTTTTGTGATTAATCACTATGCTTTATGTTCAGTTTGTAATAATGAAAATACATCCTACATATCAGATATTTACATTAGGATTCATAACAGTAGCAAAATAACAGTTGTGAAGTAGCAACAAAAATAATTTTATGGTCGGCAGTCATCACAACATGAGGAATTGTATTAAGAGGTCACGGCATTAGGAAGGTTGGGAAACACCGGTGTATATGAAGAGGGGGCACCTGATGATGCGCTGAAAAATAGAGTGCATCTACACTGCAGAATTAATGCAGTTTGACACCAGTTTGACTGCCATGACGTAATGCTATGGAATTCTGGAATTTAAAATTTTATAAGTTGTTTTGCCTTATCTGCCAAAAGATCAAACTGCAGCTCCAGGATTCCATAACATTGAGTTAAAGTGGTTCTTCATTTTAAATATTGTATTTGTTCCCATTTTGTTTTATTTTTTACTTCAAAACAATATATTTACAGTGTGCATAGGAATTTGATCGTTTTAAAAAGATAGTCCAGCCCTCCAAATGTTCTGAGGGACAGTAAACTGGCCCCCTGTTTAAAAAGTTTGAGGGCCCCTGCTGTAGAGCTTCATATTTCTGGGTTCAGAGATATGAATTGCAGAGGGTTGCAAGGTGTGTCTAAAATATGAGGCGAGCATTTCAGCTTCTGAAATCTTTTCTGGCATGGATTTTAATGTGAATGGACAAAAATCTATCTTGTGTTTTCCCATTCACTGGCTGAACCACAAAACCCACCCTGCCAGATGGTGCTCTGCTAGCAGCAGTAAGCAAACAAGCAGCAAGAAAGGAGGAAATCCCTCTTCTCCGGATCCTAACACAGTGTGCCAGGATGACCTGGGAAATGTAGTTTTCCCAAAATTTATTTATTTTGAACATTTATATCCCATCCTATCTTGACCTCCACAGAGGGACTCGGGGCGGTTAACAACAAAAGCATAAATATACACCTTAGATAAAAAAAAGTATAAAACATTATAAAAACAGTAAAACATTAGAACAATCACCAGAATTAAATTGTCATCCTACACACACGAGTCCATCAGGGTCCATTAGCTCTACCATCACATTGGTCAAGTCTGCAAAGGCCTGAACCCACAGCCAGGATTTCACCTTTTTCCAGAAGGCGAGGAGGGAAGGAGCAGATCTGATTTCACTTGGGAGGGAATTCCATAGCCGAGGGGCCACCGCAGAGAAGGCCCTGTCTCTTGTCCCCACCAACCATGATTGGGATGGTTGGGGGACAGCGAGCAGGGTCTTCCCAGATGATTTTAAGGTCCTAGGTGGTTCCTAGCGGGTGATACGTTTGGACAGGTAAACTGGGCCAGAACCGTTAAGGGCTTTATAGGCCAACGCCAGCACTTTGAATTCTGCTCAGAAGCTAATAGGCAGCCAGGGGAGCTGACGTAGCAAGGGCATTGTGTGCTCTCGATATCCCACTCTCAATATCCCACTCCTCTGAGCAACCTGGTTGTCGAGCATTGGATTAGCTGAAGGTAAATGCCAGAGGTTCCTGGCAAAACTATATTTCTCAAGTGATTGTAGTGGCTTGTGACATAAATAGGAAAGGATAAAACCTCATTCTGCAATTTCAGGGTTACATGTCTTTATGGGATATAGAACACTGCATAGTATTACACCAATAAACGGAAACAAGGATGGAACAAGACCTCTCAGTTCCCTTCTCCTTCTTTCAGTAATACTTTGTTGGATCCAGAGTATGACCAAACACTCATCTGGACTGACAATTTGGATTTGCCTCAGAAATAAGGGAAGCAAATTCTTTCTTTGAATGGAAAAGGTACTTACTTTATTTTGCAAGCCCATTGTACTGGGTGGCTTCCACATCAGACATTGGTAAATCTGCTCTGGATTTTAGTCTGTGAACACTGGTGGAGTTTGGGAGAAATAGATCTTGACATTTGGGAGTTGTAGTTGCTGGGATTTATAGTTCAGCTATAATCAAAGAGCATTCTGAGCCCCACCAACAACAGAATTGAGCAAAACTTCCCACACAGAACCCCCATGACCAACAGAAAATACTGTGTTTTCTGATAATCTTTGGTGATCCCTCTGACACCCCCTCACAACCCCCCATCCCAGGAGTCTCGACTCACAAGTTGAGAAACCCTGTCTTAACCAGTTTTCCCCAACTGTATGTTTTGGATTTTGGGAGTTGGAGCCCAATAATCTCAAGGGCTCCAGATTGAGGGAAGTGGCCTTAATCAACAAAGATTTTCATCTAATGATTGGAACCAGTCTTCTTCGGTCTCAGATTTTAACTGATAAGCTCCTTAGGCAGTTTCCACCATAAAGATGACAGATCAATGGAGGTTCATAGCAACCTTGTTTAAAATATGTGTTTATTTAGAACTTAAAACAATAGTTATGAATAGAATCTCCCTATATATTTATTCTTAAAGAAACATCTTGTCATTTCCCTTGAAATTCCTCAGATGATTTGTGTGACTTGCCTCAAAATTTACCTGCTTGAGAAAAATTTCCTAAAATGAATGCCCCTTGGAGAAATTTCACTTTATTTGATTTCTCATTAAAATTTAACTGAAATCTTACAAATGTTTAACTTGAGAGAGAAAAAATATGTCCAATATGACATATGAATATGAAACTGCTTGGTTGTTGTAGGTTTTTTCAGGCTATATGGCTATGTTCTAGAAGCATTCTCTCCTGATGTTTCGCCTGGATCGATGGCAAGCATCCTCAGAGGTAGTGAGGTCACTACCTCTGAGGATGCTTGCCATAGATGCAGGCAAAACGTCGGGAGAGAATGCCTCTAGAACATGACCATATAGCCTGAAAAAACCTACAACAACCCAGTGATTCCAGCCATGAAAGACTTCGACAATACATGAAACTGCTTGTTACTTCTGGTGTTCTTCCAAGGCCTTGCTCTGATTCCTCTGGGTTGTGAAGACAAAGCTGAGGATGCATGTGTGATATAGTCCAGGGCTTTTAAAGTAATTATACACAGATTCTCTTCTTTGCCTCAATGTCAGCATATTGTAAAGAAGTTGCCACCCCAAAGGAGTTTTGGAAGAACAACAAATTGTTCTTCTGCTGTGGGAAAGAAAGGTGTGATGTATCATAGCTAGTTTTAGGGAATCGGGTAGGGATAGCATATTGCTAAAGCGCCACAACAGTACATTCTAGTGTGCTTGTTAGTATCATTTTAAGTAACTTGAAGTATAACACTTGTTAGAGGCAGTGTGAAGGAATATGGCTGAAGATAGACAGGACCTGTTAAACTAACATGTGTTATGGTGACCCACCCCTCCACCCCCCGGTTATTTCATTTATTAAATTCATACCACATTTCTACAAATAGTAGATCTTAATATATCAACTAAAAGGAGCAGCAGAGGTGCAATGGGTTCAACCCTTGTGCCAGCTGAACTGCTGACCTGAAGGTCGGCGGTTCGAATCTGCGAGACAAGGTGAGTTCCCATCTGTCAGCTTCAGCTTCCCATGTGGTGACACAAGATAAACCACCCACAGGATGATAAAACATCTGGGTGTCCCCTGGGCAACGTCCTTGCAGACGGCCAATTGTCTCACACCTGAAGCGACTTGCAGTTTCTCAAGTTGCTTGACATGAAAAAAAAACATAAACTTTTCATATCACTGATTTAATACTACCACTCCAAACCATCTTTTAAACTACAGTGGAAATTACTGTTAGTAGAATAGATATATTCAATGCATGAGAAATCAGCAAGGCGGGAAGGGCATCCATGCATTTTGATGTTCTTTTTATATGCATTTCAAGTACATATTCCTCCCCCTCCTCAAACCCCATCTAGTTAAAATAAGTGATGGAGAGATTGATTTTCAAATTCAGATGGCTAACGCATATGATAAGTAAACTGACAATTAATTAACAGAAGTCTCTAAACATTTTTAAAGCTAAATATGGGGATGTCTGACATTACATTCTGAAAACCTGAGAAGAAATTGCTGTCCTTACATGGCTCAAAACAACCCCTCATCCATTAATTCAGTACACAAGTTTATTACCAAATGCATCTTAAGGATGTAAAGACACCAAAAATAAGGTTCCTCTTGACTTACAATCTGTAAGTGGATCAAGGTTCACCAAATGTGGGTTTTTT